AACGGCGAGGATCACCTTGCTCACCTGTGCGTGCGTGTGTGTGTGTGTGTGTGTGTGTGTGTGTGTGTGTGTGTGTGTGTGTGTGTGTGTGTGTGTGTGTGTGTGTGTGTGTGTGTGTGTGTATCGGCTATGTGTGAGGGAGAGAGTAGTGTGTCATTGTGAGAGTGTAAGTATGCGTGTATGTATCAATGCATGATTGAAAGTGTGTGAGCAAATGAATGTCAGACTGGCATACAGATGGACAGACATACAGACATAGAAGAGGACTAGAAAGCTAATGTAGTGAATGCAATATAGGAAGTTACATGTGTATGCATTGGACACGTTCGTTTTTTTCTCCTTTTTTGTTGTATCGACGCCATTCATTCCCGCAAAGTTAACGAAGCACCGGTTTGTATTGTTACGCTTCGCCTCTTTTGGCCTGCCGTGCACCAGCGAGGTCAACTGTCGCCGGGATGATTTTTTGAATAGAATTTGCCGCTTCCTGGAGGTGTGACACGAAGCGCTGCAGGGGGAGATTTTTTTTTTCATTGCACTTGTATCATCCTTTAATAACGAAAGAGGGAAAGAGAAATTGGGTTTCGCAAATATGAAAATGTGTAAGAAGCAGAAGCGCCTGGATCCGCCCACTGCGTGACGTCATCCAATCAGCCGTTACAGCGGACGTATGGAAAGCAAAAGCGAAGGCTGGCGGGGCGTAGGTTGGCTGGTTTATACGGATTAATCCGGTCGTTAGGGGGGAGGGAAGTCGGAACTAACTCTTCCCTCCCCTTTCCCTTCCCCTTACCCCCCCTTTCCCATCCCGTTAACCCCCCCCCCCCTCTCCTCTCCTCTCCTCTCCTCATATCTAGAGGTGCATGATTGGGGTCGCCTGAAAAAAAAAATAATAATAATAGGAACCAGTTCTCTCCCTTTCCCCACCTTCATCACCTCCCCATCCATCACCCCCCCCCCACCCTCCCTCTTATCGGCGATGCGATAGGCTGTTTGTGACTCGTAACCACCTCTTTCCTGTCCCTAAGGGATCGTTAGAGCCCGTGTTTTCCATGGGTAATGAGACCTACCTGATTTTATTTATTTGCTTGTTTGTTTATTTAGTTATTTGATTATTTGTTTGGTTATTTAGTTATTTGATTATTTGTTTGGTTATTTAGTTATTTGATTATTTGTTTGGTTATTTAGTTATTTGATTATTTGTTTGTTTATTTAGTTATTTATTCATCCTTGTACGATGAATATATTGTAAAAAAAATATATATATTGTCTGATGCATGGGCAGCCTGTCCATATATGATTGATAATGAAAGTAAGCAGAGGAAAAACAAAAGTCGAGTGAAATTAGTAAATGAAAAAGTATTACCGAAATGAACGATTTCCGTTATTACCGCCGTATTTACTGATTACTCTGGAATTATCTAACCCAATTTCTGGTAAAAAGGAAAAAGAAAAATGTTTTGTCATCGGTTTTCGAGGCATCCAGCTTGTGTCAGGTTCGGGCGACAGACAAGATACTTATCATTATTATTTTCCCTCTTGTAATCTCATTTCGAAATACCCGCGCTGTGTTCGAATTCTGTCTGATTCCGACCGCGATGCTTTTTTGTTTCGTGATTCTTTTATGATGGCTGTATTCTGGGTGAGTTTAGGACAGTAGTGAAAAATGGCAGATTGTGTATCATTACCTACGGAAACTACACAGTTCATAATAGGAAGTCCTTTAATGTTGCTGTAATGAAATTAACGATTTAACGTAGAATAGTTTTTATTTTATCTTTGTTCCGTTTGCAAGCATCGATCGTAAACCGTCTAGACGAGTCCGAGTCCCAAATCGGCAACCCCACTCCTCTCTCTCTCTCTCTCTCTCTCTCTCTCTCTCTCTCTCTCTCTCTCTCTCTCTCTCTCTCTCTCTCTCTCTCTCTCTCTCTATATATATATATATATATATATATATATATATATATATATATATATCTGTCTATTTATCTCTCCCTCTCCCTCTCACCCTCTCTCCCTCTCTGCCTGCCAGCCTGCCTGTCAGCCTGCCTACCTCAATTTCTTCCCTCTCCTTCTCACTCTCCCTCTCCATCTCCCTCTCCTCACCCCTCTCTCTTCCCTCTTTCTTTTTCCCTGCTTCCTCTTTCTTTATCTTTCTCAGTCTTTTTCCCTGAGTCTCTGTCGTTGACCATCGATTTCGCCAAACGGTGGTAGTGTCCACCCCGATCGTAAATTCCTTGCCTTTCATACTCATTCCATTCTTCGTTCCTTCCGTCTTTCCTTGATTCTTACTTCCTGCCTTCCTTGATTCTTTCCTTCCTTCCCTCCTTCCCTCCTCGCATGGTTATTTCTTACCTTGGTCGTAATGCTTGTGCTGGGTGTGGCTGATAACAGGTAATGAGGTTTGGAGTGGAGAGATAAGAGAGTCTAATCAGAGTGGAGAATGGAGGGAAGAGTGAGGGAGAGAGCGGTAGCGATGATGAAAAGGGGGGAAGAAGAAGAAGAGAGAAAATGATGTGAAAAAAGATTAGCCTTGTTGTTATAATGAGTTTATGAGGCAATTTCCGCTGATCACGAGATATGATGGAGGCAGGGGATGAGGGAGGGGGGGTAGAGGGGAGGGGATATGCAAATAAGTCCGCTCTTTCCCCCTGGATGGGATTCACGACCCCCACCCTACCCCACCCGTCCCTACCCCACCCTGAATGACGTGGGTTGGGGTTGAGGTTGGGGGGGAAGGGGGTCGTGAATAAATAATTGCTGAACTCCAACGCGCTTGTGTGAATTGATTCCCTTGCTAGGGCGAGTCGGTTCCGATTCAGGATATTGCCCCAAAAAGCAAAAGTCTCTCATTAAATGGTCTTCCGTCCGTGCCGCTGTTTTGATCTTGATTCACTTCTTCTCCCACTTCCTCTTCTCCCCCCCCCCCCACGCCCCTTTGCTGCTTCTCTCCATTTTCTCCTTGCCAACTGCCCCCATGCGGACCCAATCCCCCCCTCTTTCCCCTCCTCTTCCCATCCCTTCTCTTGTCTTCCCTTCCCCTCCCCTCCCTTCCCTTCCCTTCCCTTCCCTTCCCTTCCCTTCCCTTCCCTTACCAACTTCCCCTCCCTTCCCTTACCCATGTCTCTTAATACTTTCATGTCACTATCCACTTTCTCTTTCTCGTTCTTTACTCTTCGCTCTCCCCCTATTTCTTCCCCTTTCCATTTGTCTCTCCCTTCTCTTCTATGCTTTCTCTACCACTTTCCTTTCCTCTTTTCCTACCTATTCTCTTTGCCCATCCTTCCCTTTTCCACACTACTTCCCGTACCCCTACCATTTTCCCTTCCTCTTCTCCTTCCCTCACTACTTACCCTTTCCTCCCCCTCACCACTTCCCCTTCCCTTCCCCTTACCACTTACTTTCCCCTCCCCTCACCACTTTCCCTTCCCTTCCCTCTTTCCCCATGACTACCATTTCCTTTCCCCCCTCCCCCATCACAACCCCATCCTCTTCCTCAATCACGTATCCTCGCCTCTCTCTCACCGCCTACCTTTCTCTCTCGCCTCTCCCCAACTGTTTCCTCACCCCTTCCATCACCCCCCCCCCCCTTCTTCATATCGACCTCGCTCACCCCTTGCACTCCCCCCCACTCGGTAGACGCGCGCACGCACGCATACATACATGCACACAAAGACAAGACCTGCATATTCCTGTTACATGCCCATGCGAACATGCATTTAGGCAGTCATGCATATCTTCGGATGAGCTACCATGCATGTACATACCTAAACACGCAGCCCCGTATTTGTAGATACATTAATCACGTGTATTGAAGTTGTGTATCCATACCCAGTATGCATATGATCAGAGGGAGCTTTACTACTTTGCACTGAATGTTTGAGTGAAAGGAAAGAAATAGAGACGGAGATGTTGACTATCATGTGCTATTTCTCAATCAGCTGTCGTAATCATATGGTTGACCTGCGTGTTGGTAACCACATACTTGTGGGGGAGGGGGGGGGGGTTATGAGGATGGAGAGGATACTGGATCTCAAAAGAGAGGATGCCAATTTCAGGTTTAAAAAAAGTGGAGAAACGGGTATTGTACCAGTTATTACGACAGGTGATATAGTAGTAAGTATTTTGCCTTTTTTTTTTAATTATACTTGTTATTATCACAGGTGACACAGTAGTAATAAGGATTCTGTTAGGAATAAGAAATCGGGATCATGAAATATTCTGGTTAGAATGGCGCGACAAACTGTCACTTGCGGACAGTCTGAACTACTGTGCAGTGTACGATAAGGGAAAATGAAAGCGAGGATATGTGAAATGGATTGAATGAAGTAAGCCGGAAGTCTAGTTTATTTGTCAAAGAATTTAATGAATGGTATTATAACCATAAACTGCTGTAGTGTACAAGTACAGATTTGCAAATTTCGAATTGATCACAACAAGTTTACCGTTTCACTGAAAGAGAGAGAGAGTATATATGCGTAACGATTATAGTTTTATGATTTGGTGCATTCGTTTTGATATGTGACTTTATCATGTGCTGATAAATTCCCTAGCTCGATCATTGTCTAAAAACATACATCATAAATGCCCTAATTTCCTACCAGGTGTGAGGACATCAAAAATCCATATGCAATGTAGGAAATAATTGTTTGCCTTCTTGTGTAAACCTTCGACATTAGCTCTCGTGGTATTTGTCCAAATATATATTTAGACAGAAGTGTGCTGTATTTACTTGTTTGACGCATAGAGTGTGAATAAAGTAATCGAGACATTCCAAGAATTAATGGTTGCTAAGTATACTGGTAATAAGGATAAGGGAATGGTCTCAGAACTAATGTTTACGAAATTGAGAGGATTATTCAGTTTATTTTACCAAAAGTGAGATAATGTAGATTATTGTTAAGTAGAGAGTAGGAAATTCCGTAGACACACACACGCACACACACATCCACACGCACACGCAAATTCTTTTTTATATCTAAACCATTTTATTTTTCTATTTGCAGGCATGTATAGACGACAATTTAGACATGGTGGAGTTCCTGGTGGACCAAGGGGCGGACGTCAATCGGGGGGACATGGAGGGGTGGACGGCGCTACACGCCACCGCCTCCTGCGGGTTCAACAGTATAGCCAAGTAAGTACACGGGCCTTATGAATGTACTGTGGGGAAAGTGTCGTAATGGTTTAGGTACTGATCCCTTTCTCCTATTGTATTGGGTACTGTTTTCACTCTCCTCTTGGACTCACTCTCTCTTCCTTTCCTCCACTCTCTGCCTTTCTCTCTCTTCTCCCTTACTCTCTTCCTCTTCTCTCCGTTTCTGTATCTCCTTCGGTCTTCCTTTCTGTCTACTTTTCCCTACTTCTTTCCATACTTTTTCTTCCTTTCTGCCTGGTTCGTACTCTCCCTCTCCCTCTCCCTCATCCGCTGTTCTCTATCTTTCCGTGTTTCCCTCTGTGTACCGAATACGAGGGGAAATATAAATGAGACACTGGTTGCGGGCGGAGGGTCAGGATGTCCGCGGATTATCTGAACGAACGATTTGTCGATTTTTATTCTCCCCTCTCCTCACTCGTCTTCTTGTTTTTATTTTCTTTCCCTTTCTTTCCTTTCCTTCATTTTGTTATCTGCTCTCCTCTCCTCTTATTTCTATTGTCTTCTCTTTTTTCTTTCTTCTCTCCTCATTTTTTTTTTCCACTTTTTTCCTACTCCGTTCTCTTCTCCAGTTTCACTCTGCATCTACTGATTTCTCTTTGTGGCTTTTTTCTCCATGTGAAATTATATGTTAAATCCGGAAATTGTAGGGAACGAGTCTTTGGTTTTCCATTTTTATGTATTGTAGCTTATTTATGGTTGTTTCTTGGTGTCGATTCATGATCTATATGAAGTTGTTTGTTTAATTATGAACATGGTTGTTGTTTTTTTGTCATGGTAAACATTTGATTTTACATGGGCTTTTTCGGGTGATTTCTCATCTGGGCCTCCCTGATATGGGGTGGTTGTTAATGTTTTTGTTGTCCTTGTAATTTTCGTTCTCATCATCAGCAGCAGCAATTCTTCTCTTCCTTCTCCTCCTCCTCTTCTGCCTCCTCCTCTGCCTTCAGCTCCTCTTCCTCCTCCTCCTCCTCCTCCTCCTCCTTTGCCTCCTCTTCCTCCCCCTCCTCCTCCTCCTCCTCCTCCTTTGCCTCCTCTTCCTCCTCCCCCTCCTTCTCCTCCTCCTCCTCCTCTGTATCCTGCTCCTCCTCCTCTGCCTTCTCCTCTTCATCATCTGCCTCCTCCTCCTCCTCTGCCTTCTCCTCTTCATCATCTGCCTCCTCCTCCTCCTCTGCCTTCTCCTCTTCATCCTCTGCCTCCTCCTGCCTTCTCCTCTGCCTTCTCCTCCTCCTCCTCCTCCTCCTCCTCCTCCTCCTCCTCCTCCTCCTCCTCCTCCTCTGCCTTCTCCTCCTCCTCCTCCTCCTCCTCTGCCTTCTCCTCCTCCTCATCCTCCTCTGCCTTCTCCTCCTCCTCCTCTGCCTTCTCCTCCTCCTCCTCCTCCTCCTCCTCTGCCTTCTTCTCTTCATCCCCTGCCTTCTCCTCCTCATCCTCCTCTGCCTTCTCCTCCTCCTCCTCCTCCTCCTCCTCCTCCTCCTCCTCCTCCTCTTCCTTCTCCTCCTCATCCTCCTCTGCCTTCTCCCCCTCCTCCTCCTCCTCTGCCTTCTCCTCATCCTCCTCCTCTGCCTCCTCCTCCTCCTCCTCCTCTTCCTCCTCTTCCTCCTCTTCCTCCTCTTCCTCCTCCTCTGCTTTCTCCTCTTCCTCCTCCTCTGCTTTCTCCTCTTCCTCCTCCTCTGCTTTCTCCTCCTCCTCCTCCTCCCTCTCCTCCTCCTCTGCCCTCTCCTCCTCCTCTGCCCTCTCCTCCTCCTCCTCCTCCTCCTTTGCCTTCTCCTCCTCCTCCTCATCTGCCTTCTCCTCCTCCTCTTCTGCTTTCTCCTTATCTTCCTCTGCCCTCTCCTCCTCCTCCTCCTCCTCCTCCTCCTCCTCCTCCTCCTCCTCCTCTGCCCTCTGCCCTCTCCTCCTCCTCCTCCCTCCTCCTCCTTCTCTGCCTTCTCCTCTCCTCCTCTGCCTGCTCTCCATCATCAGCAATTCTTCTCTTCCTCCTCCTCCTCCTCCTCCTCCTCCTCCTTCTTACTCCTCCTCCTTTGCCTCCTCCCCCTTTGCCTCCTCCTCCTTTGCCTCCTCCTCCTTTGCCTCCTCCTCCTCGTCCTCCTCCTTTGCCTCCTCCTCCTCGTCCTCCTCCTTTGCCTCCTCCTCCTCGTCCTCCTCCTTTGCCTCCTCGTCCTCCTCCTTTGCCTCCTCCTCCTCCTCCTCCTCCTCCTCCTCCTCCTCCTCCTTTGCCTCCTCCTCCTCCTCCTTTGCCTCTTCCTCCTCCTCCTTCTTCTTCACCTCCTCCTCTTCCTCCTCCTCCTTTGCCTCTTCCTCCTCCACCTCCTTTGCCTCTTCCTCCTCCTTTGCCTCCTCCTCCTCCTCCTCTTCCTCCTCCTCTGCCTTCTTCTCCTCCTCATCATCTGCTTTCTCATCCTCATCTGCCTTCTCCTTCTCCCCCTCTGCCTTCTTCTTCTCCCCCTCTGCCTTCTCCTTCTCCCCCTCTGCCTTCTCCTCCTCCTCCTCTGCTGCCTCCTCCTCCTCCTCCTCTGCTGCCTCCTCCTCTACCTCCTCCTCTGCCTCCTCTGCTGCCTCCTCCTCCTCCTCCTCCTCCTCGTCTGCCTCCTCCTCCTCCTCTGCTGCCTCCTCCTCCTCTTCCTCTACTGCCTCCTTCTCCTCCACCTCCTTCTTTGCCTTTTCTTCCTCCTCCTCCTCCTCCTTTGCCTCTTCCTCCTCCTCCTCCTCCTTTGCTTTTTCCTCCTCCTCCTCCTCCTTTGCCTTTTCCTCCTCCTCCTCCTCCTTTGCCTCTTCCTCCTCCTCCTCCTCCCTTGCCTCTTCCTCCTCCTCCTCCTTTGCCTCTTCCTCCTCCTCTTCCTCCTCCTCCTCCTCCTCCTCCTCCTTTGCTTCTTCCTCCTTCTCCTCCTCCTCCTCCTTTGCCTCTTCCTCCTCCTCCTCCTCCTCCTCCTCCTCCTCCTCCTTCGCCTCTTCCTCCTCCTCCTCTTCCTCCTCCTCCTCCTCCTTTGCCTCCTCCTCCTCCTCCTCCATTGCCTCCTCCTCCTCCTCCATTGCCTCCTCCTCCTCCTCCCCCTCCATTGCCTCCTCCTCCTCCTCCTCCATTGCCTCCTCCTCCTCCTCCTCCTCCCTCCTCCTCCTCCTACTCCTCCTGCTCCTGCTCCTTTGCCTCTTCCTCCTTTGCTTTTTCCTTCTCTTCCTCCTTTGCTTTTTCCTTCTCTTCTTCCTCCTTTGCTTTTTTCCTTCTCCTCTTCATCCTTTGCTTTTCCCTTCTCTTCCTCTTCCTCCTTTGCTTCTTCCTTCTCTTCCTCTTCCTCCTTTGCTTCTTCCTTCTCTTCCTCTTCCTCCTTTGCTTCTTCCTCCTCCTCCTCTTCCTCCTTTGCTTCTTCCTCCTCCTCCTCTTCCTCCTTTGCTTCTTCCTCCACCTCCTCTTCCTCCTTTGCTTCTTCCTCCTCCTCTTCTTCCTCCTTTGCTTCTTCCTCCTCCTCTTCCTCCTCCTCCTCTTCCTCCTTTGCTTCTTCCTCCTCCTCCTCCTCCTCCTCCTCCTCCTCCTCCTTTGCCTCTTCCTCCTCCTCCTCCTCTTCCTTCTTTGCTTCTTCCTCCTCCTCCTCCTTTGCCTCCTCCTCCTCCTCCTCCTCCTCATCCTCTTTTGCTTTGCCATTACTCATCATCTTTTGAAGGAAAATAAAATGCTTTAAATCTCACAAGTTGATTCCACAGGCATTTCGTCTTGAATATATTTGTAGAGTAATTATCTTAAGCACCTTCACTCTGCTATAAGCATGTGCCTGACCCAGCCAAGATATGTCCTTATATAGTGTGAAGATCAGGAGATCACTTAACTCTTGGGCATTTGAGTGTTAACCTGTTTTGTTTTTGTTCTTATGGTTTACCTGAACTTGTTTTGGTAAGGAAATGTTCAAATAATTATCTTTTGACAATGCCATATTTTTTAAATGTAGATAAAAGTAGAAATAACAAAGTTGTTTATGGCATTCTTGTTATTTGGATGTTTGGAGCCTAAAATAAAGTTTCTTACATTGTTTTTTGTTAAAAAGTGCATAGAGACATGTGATTTTTTTTCCATATTTTGCCCTTTGACTGTGTTTGATGACCATAGTTGCAGTTCAGACTATTATTCATGACACAAGGTGACCATAGTTCATGTTCATTGAAGAACTTTCCTGTAATCCTGGACACTGGATGTACATTCCCGCCATCCTGATTTTTCCAGGTTCTGCTCCCATTTCAGTCCCCCCCCCCCTTTGTATAATGCCATGTTATGGTCAGTGCCACATAAAGGGGGGGGGGGACATAAAATGTAATTGGTTGTTCAAATGAACAAAGAATGCTGGATATGTATCTCATTTTCTTTGGTTTACTTAAGATGAAATACAGTTAAGAAGTCTTAAGAACGATAGAAACATATCCATAATTCATGTTCTTGAACAATGTAATAATTATTTCAAGGCTTCCTCATGGTTTTAAAAAATGTTCTAGTAAGCTGTGAGTAACCATATTTACTCTGGATGCAAAGACAGACTTTAATATTTTTCATATGAAATTGCATTTTTGAGTATTTTTACTGTCAAACAGAATCTCTACCATTTACAGCAAGAAAAGCAGCAACAATTTTTAAATATGTACAGGGAAATGACTATAGAATCTTAGGTTATAGCCAGATGGTTATGAAAAGTAGAGGTGGCGACTGTTTTTTTTTTTTCTCTCTCTCTCTCTCTCATTTGATAGCTATATAACAAACTTTTTTTTTTCATTGCAGGTTCCTAATAGACCGGGGAGCAGATCTCTCCTTAGTGAACAACGATGGTGACCTAGCCATCGATATAGCAGATTCAGATGAAATGGAAAGTTTATTACAACGAGAAATAGAAACTAGGGGTATGATATCTTTTGTGAATTGTTATTAACTGTTGAAAAGTGTTTAGTCTTTATACTTTTTTGTATTTTTTGAGTTTATGGTGGATTTGGTATAATAACCAGTGGCAACAAGAATATTTACCTTTTATTGTCATTAGGATCAAGATATATATGAAATCTTGATCAGAGCTTGATTGAGTAAAAGTATAATTACATGAATACTTGAATATGTTATGTATATGTGTATGTATGTGAATAGGGGTATATGTTTGTATACTTGGAATTTATTTGTTTAATTGTATTATTTTGAGGATTTTTTTTTTAATATAGTGTTTTGTTCATTTTGTTCAAAATACAACTCAATTTATGAAATTAATATAGAAGACAAGTTATTAGATAATTCGATTTAGACAAAATATTAAACTAAGCATTTCACTTTTATTGGATTTCACATATTTGGACTTGAGATTTCTGATAGGAGGTGGTGTACAAAGGGGCTTATGTAAGTATACAATTATAGTTCCTGGTTGAGTTACATGGTTGAGAGAGCCCAAAGGTGTCTCATTGCAAACTTGCCTGAGGTAAACCTGTTGTGTGGACTTGGGGTGTAAGGTGACAACATATAGTGTAACTTAGAGGGTAAGCACCAACCCATACCTTTTGTGAACCTGCACAGCTTTAAATGTTTTGTGTTTTGTATTAGTTTGAATTGAGGGATTAGTAAAGATTATTTTTAATATTTCTTTATTGTTCTTGATATTTTTTTTTCAATGCTTAGGTCTTTTTATATATCTAGTATGGAGGAGTATGTTGTGAGGCTATTCAGATAAATGAATTCTATATATGGTTATTTTTCTATATGATATGAACTATAAGATGATAGTGGAGCAGTAGATGTAAGATGATAATCATATGAACTTGAGGCTGATTGAATTTTTTATTATGATCATTCTCAATTTGCTTTTACTATGAACTGTGCAGAGGTGTTTATTCATTGGGAGAAGGGAAAGAATGTGTGATTGTTTATATTTGCATTTTTGTGTTTTTATTTTGGGTGTGTTTATGGTGGTCTTTACAGTAGCTGTATTATATATTTTACAAACCAGGGAATTTTTAAATACAAGTGCTAAAGTGCTTTACTAACAATTATTTGTACTTTATTTTTCTCACCATAAAGGAATTGATTGTGATGCTTCTCGAAATGAAGAGGAGCGGCGAATGCTAGAAGATGCTCAGATGTGGCTTGGTGCTGGTTACCTTGCTGACAGACCTCACCCAAAGACTGGGGCTACGGCACTTCATGTAGCATCAGCAAAAGGTTACATCAAAGTTATGAGGTAGGTTGATAAAAGAAAAACAATTGTTGGATTGGTTTTAAAGTAATATTTTTAGTTTTTAAATATAAATCAGTCTGTCTGCAGATCTCACTTTAACATATGTTATGTGTCTGGTTTCAGAATTGTCAGAGTTTAGCCTCCAATAAGCTATTGCCTTAGGACAGTGCAATATGTATGCAAGAATAAAAATAAATTATTGTTGTAGAAATTGAATCTGCAAACTATTGTCATTAACTTCAGATATTACAAAGTTAACATCCAATTTAAATTCTTCTATTAATAGGTATTAAAATCATCAACTTTACATATTTTTTCTTCTGCAGTTTATTGTTAGAGGCCGGAAGTGATATCAATGCTCAGGACCTTGATGGATGGACACCTCTCCATGCTGCTGCACATTGGGGTCAGAGGGAAGCTGTAGAAATCTTAGCAGAAAATATGGCTGATATGGATGTTCGGAATTTTGTGGTAAGTATTTTTCTCTCTTATTTTTGTTTTCCAACTCCTTTGATGTGAGAGTGATGGAAATATTTGCAGAAATTTAATACTGGACTCTTTTTCAAGTTCAGAGCTGATTGTTTTAAGTCAATCTTGAATTTTTATAGATATACATTAAGGAATTACACTTAAACAGTATACTTACTCTACCTTGCAGCCATATAAAACATCATTCATTATAACCTTTTGGAAATTATCTCTCTATTTTTCAGGGTCAGAGTGCATTTGATGTTGCAGATAACAGTTTATTACGTCTTATGGATGAGCTCAAGAGAAAACAGGTTTCTATGAAAGTAAACCAAAATAAACAGACCCCGAGAAAGCGCAAGTGAGTGAAGAATTTTTTTCGTTATTTTTTTCTGCTCTATCTATATACTTAGTATATATTCATATCTTTATTTTGTTCAAAGCCTAGAAATATAATGTAGATTACAATAGCACAAAACATTTATATAGGATTGTAGCTTCTTTATGGACTTCACATGTATAGGAATTATATGTTCAATGTATCATAGGCCATGACACATAATGTTACCCAAGTTTTCTATCCAGTCAGTTTGATTTGAATGATTGAGGTCATGAGCAATATAGAATCCCAGTATAACCAGAAACAAAAAAAAAGAAAGGGTGAAAGAAGTATTTTTGAATTTCCACAGAACCTCCCCCCACCGAGAACATAGTAATAAGAAGGAGCGCGAAGACCAGAAGGAGTCTGATGGTACGTCTGGTGATGAGTCCTCATCTGATGTGGGTGAGTTTGCAGTAGACCTAACCAGTATACTAAACTTAACAATACAGTGCTGTTAGAGGTAGGAGGTGGAGAAAGGGCATCCATATTTGTTATGTAGTACTGTGGGTTATGGGTAGCTTTTTCTTGTTCATAAACTTAATTGGTTTTAGTGATCTTCAGCTGAGTTCAGGGAAACAGTGTCATGATAATGGTACAGGGCATATGTTAAAAGTGTGTGGTATTTAAGGAAAAAACTGAATTATTCATTCTATACAATTTTTATTGAACAAGACATTATTCATTATTCCTCTTACATTCTGATGATGTATGTTGCCCTACCTTGAAGGTCCCTGGCTTTCTATCACTAGAAAGGTTTTTCAACACATGCAACTCTACTTGATGAATATTTTTATTGTGGTGCTCCTGCCATTATTCTAAAGTTTTCAGTTTACTCTAGAGACATTGTTTATGATTTTAGCTTAAAAGAGGAATGTGCATGGTGAAACCTGCATCATCAGACCTAGAAATGGTTAGAGATACCAGATTGATCATTATGTGTTAGAGGTATGAAGATGATAGATACAAGTAAAAGTATTTTTATGTAGAACCCTGAAAATTTGAAGATTTGAGTCCTAGTATTTGGGAGGAGCTTTGTATTTGTTATTACTTGGAATTCCATCACGGTCTTAATAGTTGGGAAGTTTATTTAAGATTGGTATTTCAGATCATTATTTAATATAAACAAGATCTCTTCCTAATGCAAAATTATTATATATTATGTTTGTTCAAAAACAGTCTACCTGTTATATAAAAGGTTTGAGGGTTTCAAATAACTGTTTAGGTTAGCCATACAATTGACAAAATTATAAGATATTCCACAAAGGTAAAGTTGAATCTTGATATATAGAGAAAACATCAAAGTAATTCCTATTTTATATACTAAGAATAGAAGCAGGTGTTGATTCCGGTGCTTTTACCAATGGGTGAGTTTGCAGAATCTATGGAAATGGTAACACAAAGCTTTAAACAGCTATTAATTTGTACATCTAGTGTCTGTCTGCAAACTTGTGTTAGAGATAGCACTAACTCTACTAAAAGAATGGAAGGCTATATGTATTTTGTCTTTCCTTATATTGTGCATGATTCGCATCCATAGAACTCAGTAGTTTCAGCGTGCCTTCAAGAGCAGGTGATTGCACTGCAGACAGGATGTAGTAACACATTACAGCATCTTGCTCTGTCCTTTACATGCTGCACCTTTGGATCACTCCTCATCTAGATGATGAGGAGAGTAGTGAGGACACTTCCAGTAGTGACAGTAGTGACTCATCAGAATCTGAAACTGATAGTGACGATGATGATGATGAGGATGAGGATGAGGAGGATGAAGATAATGATGAGACCCGTGATCTCTTGAAGGATCATGGAAATAATTCTATTAGTAGCTATCGTGTGCTTAGCCCAGTGGGATTTTTAGTTGGTAAGTCAAAGTAATGTGTAATGGAACTGTATGTGGTTGAGCTTTACTGTATTTGATTGTCTATGGGTTGGGTAGGGTTAGTTTGTTTTGTAATGAAATGCATGTAATAGTTTTTATTAGATGTTATGTAAGGAAAGATATGATCTTCATGGAAATGTTAATTTGGTTTATTCTAAAGTTGTTTTGGAATTAGGTATTTTTGTAGTGTTCTGTTATTATTATATAATTAATTAATTAATTTATTTGTGATTTTTTAACTGTGTCTATGTGAGGTTACATGTACTGTCCACAGTTTTTGTTTTTTTAATTTTGTTGCCTACAGATAGCTCCACTAGTACTACCTACCAAGGAAGCAATAAGTAGCCCAATATTACCTCACCTAATTTCCTCATTCCTTGATATATTGGGATTTTTTTGTTATTAGTGTTGATACTGTTACTATTCTTATTGTAATTGTGATTGTTATAATCTAAAAATGCTAATAGCTATGAAAAATATGAAAGAATCTTTTCAAAAATCAAGGTGAAAACAAGTGAGATAGGGAGGACTAGTAATTGATGCTTTGATAATTAAGCATTTTTGGAGCATCTATGTATAAACAAAATTAATAAACTAAAATCACAGTGGACATGGCAACACAGTGTGTTGAAAAATCATTTTAAGAAGTACTGAATAGGGAAATTATATACTTGTATGTAAAACAAACAAATTATTGTGTACCATGTTATAGGAAAATTTAGCTGATGCAGTGTCCATTTCAAGGAAAGTGATAGTTTTATTTAAGTTATATCTATTAAAAGGAGAGTTTCATACTAACTCTCAAGTCCAGAAAACCTTATTGCAGGCCTAAATGGTAGTAAGAATTAGTGAGAAAATATGAGAAGATACAAATTAGGGGAGGATAGCCAACCATAGCAAAATGAGGAGACTTGTGTAAAAAGAAAATAATCCATATTAAAACAAGGTGACTTGTATGAAAAGAACATTAGCCAGAGAAATTTTATTTTGAATGGAGTGTGTTTTACATTCTAGTAGATAATAGGTTGGCTTAAGCAATCGTTTATTAAAAAACTCTTAAATTTATTGGATGTAAATGATCAGTAAAGGAAAAAGGCTAGACAATACAATTAGGGTGTGCTTTAGAAGACAGGAAATTTCCCCTGCACTTTAAAGAAGTTTTATTTCTCTTTAAAAGAATTTGGCCAATATAAGGTTCTGATTTGTCTAGAATGAATTGTATCTTATGTCTCCTGTATCCTATGTGACTTACAATAAATGAGATTGTGTCTATGTATGTATGTATGTGTGTGTATATGTATATATATATATATATATATATATATATATATATATATATATATATATATATATATAATAATAATAATAATAATAATAATAATAATAATAATAATAATAATAATAATAATAATAATAATAATAATAATAATAATAATAATAATAATAATAATAATAATAATAATAATAATAATAATAATAATAATAATAATAATAATAATAATAATAATAATAATAATAATAATAATAATAATAATAATAATAATAATAATAATAATAATAATAATAATAATAATAATAATAATAATAATAATAATAATAATAATAATAATAATAATAATAATAATAATAATAATAATAATAATAATAATAATAATAATAATAATAATAATAATAATAATAATAATAATAATAATAATAATAATAATAATAATAATAATAATAATAATAATAATAATAATAATAATAATAATAATAATAATAATAATAATAATAATAATAATAATAATAATAATAATAATAATAATAATAATAATAATAATAATAATAATAATAATAATAATAATAATAATAATAATAATAATAATAATAATAATAATAATAATAATAATAATAATAATAATAATAATAATAATAATAATAATAATAATAATAATAATAATAATAATAATAATAATAATAATAATAATAATAATAATAATAATAATAATAATAATAATAATAATAATAATAATAATAATAATAATAATAATAATAATAATAATAATAATAATAATAATAATAATAATAATAATAATAATAATAATAATAATAATAATAATAATAATAATAATAATAATAATAATAATAATAATAATAATAATAATAATAATAATAATAATAATAATAATAATAATAATAATAATAATAATAATAATAATAATAATAATAATAATAATAATAATAATAATAATAATAATAATAATAATAATAATAATAATAATAATAATAATAATAATAATAATAATAATAATAATAATAATAATAATAATAATAATAATAATAATAATAATAATAATAATAATAATAATAATAATAATAATAATAATAATAATAATAATAATAATAATAATATAATAATAATAATAATAATAATAATAATAATGATAATAATAATAATAATAATAATAATAATAATAATAATAATAATAATAATAATAATAATAATATCTTTTTCATATTTATTTGAGGATTCAGGTTTTGTTTAGAATCATTATTAAGATTGTGCCAAGAAGAAGAAAAATCATGCTAAACAAAAACAACAAAAGAAATCTCCAAGGATATGTTCTACATTTCTGTCTTTTTATGATTACTTTAGTTGTTTTGTACCTCTATATTCTGCCATATTAATTCACATGACAACCTAAACATACGAGCACACCCCATCCACAGACCAAAAAGAAGAAGTATCTCGCAACATATCCACGCAACCACGGCTGAGCACCAGAGAATCGGAAGACATACTAACAGGGAAGAGAGCCCCAGAGAAGGATGAAAGGTAAGTGAGGAGAACTGCTGCTCCTGTGGATAGGAGGAGGAGGAGGAGGAGGTGTATTTAATGATAACAAGATTGCATTTTAGGACTTGCAGGAAGAGTTTCTTGGATTCCCGACTCGTTCGAGAATTTGCTTTTGTTTTTGTAGGGAGTGGGTTGGTGTTTTTCTTCATTCATTAAATTATTTTATTGTTTATTTATTTTGTTTATCGGGGCCCTGGATATTAGAGACATGTTGCCCGTTTGATACTTAATACTTGTACTAGTTAAACATTTAGAGGAGAGATGGAGTATATATAGATAGATATAGTTATAGATATAGATAGGTTAATATAAATAAATAGATTTGCAATTATTATTAGAAAAAGAATCTTTATGAAATACTGGAAACTGTTCTTTTATAATAGGCTAGGTTCATATTGTTTCTAGAAACCTGAGGCATTTGATATGTGAAATTTAAATTAGATTTGATACTGGAGTTTAAGTCTATTGACAGGAGTAGAATTAGCTTGATGTCATTATCTAAATGTAGTAGGTATTATAGTATATCAGTATTGAATGACAGAGGAATCAGTAATTAATAAAAAATTCTCAGTTTACTTACTGGTGTTGTTAAAGTATATGAATGTATGGTATGGGAAATATAGAGGGAATGTATATACAAATGTATGTTTACATTTGCTTCATATGTATATATGTATATATGCACACTTGTATATACATGAATACATATATATATGTATGTTTATATGTTTACAAGTATTTCTGTATACATTTGTGCATATACCATGTATGTACATATGTACTCTGTTTATACATAGACTCTATATGTGTGTCTGTGTGTATGTTCTTGTATATATAATTTTATTGTTTATTTATTTTGGTTTATTTTTTTATTATTCAATGTATTTCTTCTATTTCATTGTATATACATAACCACTTTTATAAATATCTTCCTTCATCTCTCTCTGTCTATCTTATTACATACAGTTATTAAAAAAGACTAATTCAATTTGTAATGGTAGTTTTCCTGGACTATCTGTATGAAATATTTTGCTGTGCATAACTTTTTTCTACATGCTGTCAATGCAAACTTCAGAATTTTCTTGGTACATTTTTCCATTTGTTGCTCTGTTACTTTTTTCAGTCTTAATTAATGTAAATACATTAACCCCTTCAGTCTGGATGGTGTGGCCATCATGGCATGAAAAAATTTGGCTTGAGGGGCAGGTGACATTAACATGCTGTCGTGGGAAAATTTGGCTGTGGCTCAGGATGACGAGAAAGACTCGTCATGAGTATATAAACCTTTTGGAGGGCGATTAGACTCATTTGACATTTAGAAATTAGCTTTTGCATTATTTCTGAGACATAACTTTAGAGCACCAGCTCCATTATTTTATTTATGTTCAGCTTCCTATTCCTGGCTGCTGTGACCAGTGGCACAGATTTTTGTTACAGAAAATTGAATATTACAAAGAAAAAAATACAAATAACACAATATTACTTACTGTTATTATTCCTGCACTGAGTTATGGACTACCTACCTAGAGATGATATGGAGTCTGTGCAAGGAAAATGGTTCATTACCATCTGGAGAAAGCAAATAAAAAGACAGATATTGATATTTGAAAATGGCAAGAAAGCTAGAAATGCTTTTGCATAAAAAATGAAAATAACATTGCAAGAGAGATATAGTCTTGTTACTGCACAGAAGTGTTTGCGTAAGCCCAGCCTACAAGGTGCTCACCTGTTGGAGTGGCCACTCACTCACATAAGCCTAATGCCTGTATTTTGAGCCTTGTGATTGTCATGAAGCAACCAGATTCGATGGGTTGATTAACTTTGGGTTATGAAAATGAAGACTGAAATTTTTAGAAAAATAGATCAAACAATAAACTTTTTTTTAAGACAGTATAGAATAGTAGTGACTCCTTACAGTTCAGAGAACAGCAAACCAAATTTGTATTTTTGATATACAAAATAAAAAGGAAACTAAGAAATCATTCCCAGAAAAGGTAAAACTAATTGCTAGTAGACTTCACAGTTCTTCAGAAAACACCATAACATTTTTTCTTTTCTCTCTCTCTCTCTCTCACACTAATTGGGATTTCCCAATCTAGTGTTCATTTTTAAGGGAATCTTATTATTTACTCTTCTTTCTTTTTCTGTTTTGTATAATATATGTTTTGAATTGAGTAATATCTTCCTATTCTAGCAAACCATAACTGTGTATACTTCAATAATTGCATTCTTCAAACATGCTACTTGGAATGAATTAGCAATAACATTTTCCTAGTAATTTGTAATTTATATTTGGTAATGTTGGAAAGTATAATCCTTTTTTAATCATGTAATTCAGCAGATTTTGCATTTTATTGTGTGGTGGCTGCATGACATTAGGTTTCATTGTTGTTGCATGGTGGATGTTTTGTGTGTTTCTAGCTCTCTGAGCGTCACCCGAGAGAGACTCAAGGCGCGGTCATGCCCAGCTCTAAGTCAGTTGGAGGAG